TATTTCCAGTTGAAGTTTCGGTAAATAAAGTTCATATTTGCAAGAATGGAATATGATGATCAATTTGGTCCAAGTTATTTTTACCGCCGTGTTATTGTTAGTATATTGATGCGTGTGATATGGAGAATGTGTGGGAATAAGTAATATAGTGAAATTTTGAAGAGAATGAATTATTTGTCAAGTATTCTGGAAATTTCCAACTCTGAGAGCATTTCTATTGATTTCTCCAATAGTGGAAGGGTATTTAAGTAGATTATTTTTAATCACAAGTATTTAAGTAGATTTCTAAAAATATGATTCACAAAATAAAAGGAGGGCTTGTTTTTAATGTAGTATAGATAACGAAATAAATAAGTATTGATATGACATTTTTAACGAACTTTAATTACAGTTATTACTTCAAATTTATTTATTAACATAGGATAACATGATTAACATCTAAGTGGTGATTGGATTTGCACCGCTATGAATATTATATGTTGATCTGGGGGGAAGTCACTAACAATACAATAAAAAGCTTTAAATTAGTTTATGAGTGTCACAGGAAACGAAAATCTTCACATAATTATTCTTACGCCTGCATAACGAAGAGAACTAAAGTGACAATTTTAGAAACATCAAGATATATGTAAGTGCTGCCAAAACCAAATAAGAGCATACAAATGCAAAGTGGAGAAACCTATAAGATATTTGTTTTCTTGACTTGGTCTTGTGTGACCAAATCAACTATTCTCAGTTGAGAGAATAGTGGGAAAGTGTGATTTGTTGAGAGAAAATCTTTCATAGGCAGTTTATTGAGGGGATAGAGATGATGGGTTTGGCCTCTATACAAGGTGGAGTGTTCTCCTTGAGAAAACAACACAGAAACAAACCCCCCTATCCATTACCGGAGTCCCCTCAAAGAAACTCGGTGTTTTCCCCTTCTTCTCTGTTAACGTTCACTGATATCGGAGCCTATTTTTTCTTTCTTCTCCGTTTCGCACCACCTTCTCTGTTATTTGAGGGACACGATATTTCTTTTGCCTCATCTCTGTACCTTTTCAACTTCTTTATTCAAAATGAAGTACATTGAATTTTTGTCATAGCCTACTTTTTTCAAGCTTTGAAGTGACAGCCTACAACCTATTCACCTACCCACCTGACTCATTCCTATCAAACGTTGTCTCAAAGTCTTCTTCATTATTATCCAAAGGATCCAACAAACCCATCATCTCTAAGTCCAACAAACCTAGGGTTGTTCATAGCTTTATTGGTCCACTTCATATTAGAACCTAGACCTTTTCATAGCAATCAAAACCTAGACCTATTCATAGCCTAGACCTGTTTATAGCTTTATTGGTCCACTAAACTCTGTGTTATTTGTTCTTGAGGCCCACCCCAAGACAAGTCTCCATAGATCCAACGTATCTTCGACCTCTAGCAGTTGCATTATTGTCCACTGATCCGAGACGTGATGGGCAACATTTTGAGATCCACCCACTAAGTCGGGGCTTCTTGTTAGCGGTTCTCTTAGAGAATCTCGCTAGAATTAGAGTTGATTTCCTTCGATTAGACCCTATCAGTTCTTCGCAATCATGTTTTTATTTATTTATTTATTTATTTTATTTTGTATCTAACATTATTCTGTTTTTAGTATATCTGTCTATACATTAATCTTATACATTTTTTAATTGGAAAATTAGTTTTAGTTCTCTACCAAATGGCTAGTAAACTTGTTCTATCAGAACTAGGAAAAATTAACAAATTTAATGGCAGTAATTATGATATGTGGCATAGAAAAATAGGATATGTTCTTATTCATGACAATGTCAATGATGTAATCGAAACCACTACTCCAAGCTTTACTGATAAATCTACACCTGAAGAAAAGAAAGGGTCTGAACAGTGGAAGTCGAAAGATAAAAAGGCAAAAGACTAATGCTCATGTTCATGGAAGATAACTTAATCAAAGTTTTTAAAACTTATAAGACTTTCATGGACATGTGGAATGCTATTAAAGAAAAATATGACACCGCCTCTGAAGTTAACATTCAACTCTTCTTGCATAAGTATAATTCTTGTCGTATGCAAAAGGGAGACAATATCGTAGAGTATATTAACAAGATGATTATCATGGCTAAGAACTTATCCACTAATATGACCAAAATTCTGGAAAGAATGCAAGTGGCAACCATTTTGAATAGTCTACCCCTTCCCTTATTGTGGCTGCCACGACATTAAGAATGAACCATACCATTAAATTTGTCACTGATCTTCCTATACACCTGTAGGCTGTCTAAAATTCACAATAGATAGCTTATTCAAACAAGCTCCGACAACGGAGGTCACAATCAGACGACTTCCCAATCACTGCATCCGCAACTCCACAATTGCCACAAACGCGACCTCACTTCTGAGATGATTGATCTTGATGGCTGTGACAACAGCATGGCTAATATCGTAGCAACTATTAGAGATGCTGATGAGCAGTGGGACGATTTCAGAAATAAAAAGTTGGACTCAGTTGGTGAGTTGCTTGATAGAGAGCTATGGGCGAATATTCATCTTTAAGACACTATGGATGTTGATTCCCGTCTAGCTCCTACAACGAAAGCTACAATCAAATAGTTATCGGGTCGGTGAACGAATGTTGCGAATGGAGGGCTTTTCACATAGATCGAGAAGAGTTACAATTCAACGACACTTCCGACGACGGATGAAAACTCTATTCAGCAGTCTTCACAATCTACAGTGAAAGTTACAATCTGACGACTTTCACACTCCACAACAGCTAAAAGCCAGGATTACTGAACAACGGTCCTTATAACGCTCTACAGAAGAAGTTACAAGTCAAATGGCTCCTTCTGAAACGCGGATGTCATCCCCGCGTCACCAAGTTGGAAATGAAGGCGACCCTCGCGTCGTCAATGCACAAGCCAAACGCGAGCGACCCTCGCGTTCAATGGTGTTCAACCAACAGCGACCCTCGCGTTCAATGGTGTTCAGCCAAACGTGAGCGACCCTCGCGTTCAATGGTGTTCAACCAACAGCGACCCTCGCGTCGTCAATGCACAAGCCAAACGTGAGCGACCCTCGCGTTCAATGGTGTTCAACCAACAGCGACCCTCGCGTCGACAATGCACAAGCCAAACGTGAGCGACCCTCGCGTTCAATGGTGTTCAACCAACAGCGCCCCTCGCGTCGTCAATGCACAAGCCAAACGTGAGCGACCCTCGCGTTCAATGGTGTTCAGCTAACACCCAACTTCGCGTCTCAATTCAAAGAACACGAAGTTGAGTTCTAAACGCCAGAATGGGCGTTTGACTTATTCAAACATAAGTCGAACGGTTCCAAAACCGTTTATCCCACGTTCTGAGGGGATTTTCACCCATGTAGGAGCGGATATAGGGGTCAGTTATAACCTCTTATCCCCCTATAAAAGCTCAACGAACCCAACAGAGCAACGGGTTGGATTTTTGGCATCTGAACCACACAGGTTGGATTCAAAAGATCTAAACCATACAGGTTGGAGATTTTCAGTTCTCAAACAAACTCGACAGAGTTAAAGGATCGGATTTTTGATAATCAGATCAGAGGTTGGATTCTTTATCATCAAAATCACTCTGGTTGGGAGATTCGGCAACGACAGCAACGAAATCCTCGGAGATAGGATTTTTGAATCAACCTCAGAAGATCAAATCTGAGAGGATTCTTGGACAACAGAAAAACAGCTTGATCTTTAACCGAATTTTCGGTTCCAACAACTCTATTCACAGAGTTCAAATTCGTTCAGAGTTCTTAAACTCATTCAGAGTTATTCATAAAACTTTCCACGAAAGTTCATCGTTCACCTTCCTTCCCTTGGGAAGCTTCCATATCTCAAGAATTTGCGACTAAGCGGACTAGCTGTTAAGATAATTAACTGTGAAGGAGGTTTTCAACAACTACAGTATGTATCTATCTATTACCGTGACGAATGGGAAAAGTGGTCTGGACTAGAAGCAGAGCCCTGGTGTCCTGTCCTCAAAAAAAATTTTATCAAGAAATGTTCCAAACTGAAGGCATTGCACCCTCTGCCCCTCAGTCTCCAAGAATTGAACCTAGAAGATGTAGCACTTCCGTGGTAGCGGCTGTAGCACTTCCGTGGCCGGCTTATTTCAAAATCATGTTACATCTCTCGTATTTTGGAAAGTTACTGACTGTAAAGAGCTGGTGGGCATGCATGCGGAGGAAGAGTTTCAACATCTGCACTCCATTGAAGATCTAGTGACTGGGAAATGCCCTAAGCTGAAGATGTCTCCAGACACAATTGCCCCAACCTATTGTTTCCCCCTGTCATCACTCGATGACCTTTAATTTTAAGATTGCGGTGAATTGGACGGTATTTTTCCTACATTACTAACGCAAGGCGCCCTTACTTCTCTTAGAGGTATTGAGTTGTATGGTTGTAACCACATATCCTCCTTTCCCTCTGAAGAGGTGTGTAGAAGATTAACTTCACTGAGATGGTTGGAACTGGAAAGGTGTGGAGGGCTAACGTCAATCGAGAGTTTAAAGGCTCTTCCCCACCTCTATTGGCTAAATATTATCAACTGTCCCAAACTTGTGCAGTCAGCTGAACCAGTAACTTCAGAGCCATCAATTAAGGAGGAGGAGGATTTCACATTAACCATTGACGAACTTTATATTAATGACCCCTGTAGGCGTCAAAAATTACCTATGAGTTCCCGCACGCAGCTCAAGACAAAGAGAACATGATGAACGTCATCACCCAAGTCAAAGAAGATTATCTGACACCGATAAAATGCATGAAGCGAATCGGTAAAGCGCACAAGCCAACAAAGTGACGAAACACACGTAAAGGGGCAAAGCAAGCAAACCGAAGGAGATACAAATAGCCAAAAGGGTCAAAAAGACACAACAACAAACCAGAAGGC